AAGAAGAGGGAGGAGAATAAGGTGGGTTAGGTTATTTTGTTTTAGGAGAATAAGGTGGGTTAGGTTATTTTGTTTCAAAAACTTACAACTTGGGCTTGGGCTCTTCCTACACCCTTCTTTTGTTTAAGGCCCTCCTACCCAAACACTCCTTGCTCATAATCAACAATATAAATTCGTAGTTGGTCCAATGGCCAAGAACTATGCCAACGAAACGGAATCCTTACTAACAATAATTTAATGAGTAGCTACCCGTAATTAATTCACCACAATTTCTGCAGCAGTTAAAAATAACCGAAAATCAATACTTAAGTAAACAAGGAAAAAAAATAATAAATAAAATAAATAAATAATATATATATATATATATATATATATATACTTTAAGAAAAAAAAGTCCCGGAACCCGAGGGTAAGCTAACCTTAGTAATGCGGGGCGTTACACCTATGCTTTGTTTGTTTTAGAAAGTCTTTGATTTTTGTTGTTGGGTGGGCTAGACGTTTTGTGTGTTTCTTATACTTCTTTATTAATATTTTTCTAACTTCTTATATATTATTTTCTCCGAGGGGTGGATAGACATTTTAGTGTGATTTTAAAGATAGTTTGTGGTCTTAGAGGGCACATAGGCTCTTTTAAGACACTTGTTTATGGTTTTAGTTTATAGTTTATGTTCTTGTTTACACGTTGAAGATAGTTTTAGTTTATGGTTTCATGATTTTGGCTTCCATATCTCACTTAACCACTTTAGTTTGCAACTTTTTTTTTTAGTACAACAATTTTGCCACTTTTTCATTTCATACTTTTATTCATTTATGTAATAACATTTCCATATATTATTTGATTCATTTCAAGTGTGTAAATCTTGTCTAATCTTGAATGAGACAAATGGAAAATTAAAGTTTAACGGAGGAGTGTCGTCCAGCCCTTGCCCCTAATGCAAACCGAACAGTTCGGGATGCCTATGATAGATGGGTTAAAGCTAATGAAAAAGCTCATGTCTACATTTTAGCCAGTATATTAGATGTATTGTCTAAAAACCACGAGAGATTAGCTACTGCAAGAGAGATCATGGACACTCTACAAGCCTTGTTTGGACAACCATCAACAACTATCATGCATGATGCGATTAAATATGTTTACAACTGCAGAATTAAGGAAGGATCTTCCGTAAGGGAGCATGTTTTGAACATGATGGTTCACTTCAATGTTGCAGAAGTGAACGACGCAGTCATGAACGAAATAAGTCAGGTTGGATTCATCATGCAATCTCTTCCGAAAAGTGATGTTCAATTCAAAACGAATGCTATGATGAATAAAATTGAATACAACCTGACAACCCTTCTGAATGAACTCCAACTTTACGAATATTTGTTGAAAAACAAAGGTTTTGAGTCTGAGGCAAATATTGTTACTACCTCAAAGAGAAAATTCCACAGGGGATCTTCCTCTGGGAGTAAATCTGGACCTTTTTATCAGAAGAAAGGAATTCAGAAGAAGAAGAAGGACAAAGGGAAGGGGAAGGCTCCGACGACGTTATGATAGGAACAAGCCTAATTCGACTTTTAATGATGGGCAATGCCCGTAGTTAAAAGGAAATTATGATGGATAGGTGACCATCATCTATGTGAGTGTCCTTGTTTCTTTGTCATCGACACTCTTTTTTAATGACGAGCACTACCCGTCATGAAAATTTGTGTTTTCAGGATAGGCATGCCTGTCATGAAAGGGTAACCATGACGGACAAACACCGACATCTTTACGAGTGTCCTTTCTTCTTTATATGTTTGATGGCAGTTGTGCTCGTCATCGTATGTACGTCATTGTTTGTGTGTCGTTGTATGTTTGTCATCATTTGTATGACATTGTTTATGCAACATTGTATGTACTTCATCTTTCGTATGTCATTGTTTGTGCATCATCGTTTATATGTCCTGTATATGTATAATGGAATAACAATAATTCATGACAGACATTGACCATCATTATTTGTTGAATAATTTAATTAAAAAACAGTTTGTTACCAATCACGTGGCTAACTAACTATATTTCCTTGGAACCAATTCACAAAACCATATTTCAACATTGCAATCAAAATTAGCTAACTAAAATGCAACTAAAACTTTTAACACATTCATCCATTGTAAAATTAATAAACTAACGTACAATTATTATATATTCAAAACTCATTTAATTAAAAGTGGATCAAACAAAATAAAATGACAAAAATACAAAATTCATTTTAATTAAAAAGTCTTGGAATTTTAATTTTCCCTTTTGAATTTTATTTTCGGATCCAAAATTAAGTAATCTTTCCCAAATCATTATAAAGAGTTAATCTTTCCCAAATTTTAACAAAGGATTAAGATTTATCCCTCCTTATTTATATGGTAATTACTCTTATTTTGGATTATTCTTTTTGGTAAAAAAGAAAAGAGAATGAAACAAAAAAATAAAATAAAACAAAAATAAAATAAAATAAAACAAAGAAGGAAACGAACCCTAGCCTCTATGTTCTTCATTATTCTTCTTCTCCATTTCCCTAGCCGCCACCCACCCCCAGTTGCCCCTCCTTCAGCCAAGCTGAACAGCGGTAGTGATGAAGTGTAACGCCCCGCGTTACTCAGGTTAGCTTACCCTCGGGTTTCGGGACTTTTTTTCTTAAACTATATATATATATATATATTATTTATTTATTTTATTTATTATTTATTTTTTTTCCTTCTTTACTTAAGTATGAATTTTCGGTTATTTTGAACTGCTGCAGAAATTGTGGTGAATTAATTACGGGTAGCAACTTATTAAATTATTGTTAGTAAGGATTTCGTTTCGTTGGCATAATTCTGGGCCATTGGACCAACTACGAATTTATATTGTTGATTATGAGCAAGGAGTGTTTGGGTAAGAGGGCCTTAAACAAAAGAAGGGTGTAGGAAGAGCCCAAGCCCAAGTTCTAAGTTTTTAAAACAAAATAACCTAACCCACCTTATTCTCCTGAAACAAAATAACCTAACCCACCTTATTCTCCTCCCTCTTCTTCTTCCTCCTTTCCCTCTCTTGTTGAAGCCGCCGGCCCCCCTCCCATTCGGATTCCTCCTCTCCGGCGAGCAGCACCGTTCAGGCGACGCGACAGGCAGCAGCGGCATCAGACAGTAGCAGGCGCGGGCGTCGGGCAGCTGCTGGCGCGGCGTTGGGCACCAGCAGGCGGCGGCGGTGCGTGGTTGCTGTTCGTGGTGTTTTTTTCTTCGATCCGACAAACTCCAATGACTTGAATAGCTTAGATCCGTGAAGCCCGGTAATTTTCGTTGACCCACCTTTGTTCGAAGTTAATTTTGGATTACCCACACTCAAACGAAACCGATTTAGGATACCCATACCTAAGCGAAGTTGTTTTGTAGTAACGGGCATCAAGACGAAGCCGTTGGAGGTCGTTTTGGTGTATTTCTCTGCTGAAAAAACGTGGACAACAGCGTTTTGGTGGTGTTCGGCGATTTCCTTCATCCGTTTGAAGCCCGATTTACGCTACCCACACCTTTGCAAGCTAGATMTAAGTTACCCACACCTACACGAGGTCGACTTTGCGGTAAGGAGCCCTTTGAACCCTCTTAGAGTTGATTTCAGAAGCTAAACCGTACATATAACTTGCTGTTTTTTTTCTGTTTGTATGCTTAGGTGTGAGATCGATGCAAGACTTAGGGACRTGGTTGGTAAGTAGCACTAGGGGGCGAGTGTGTGCATTATTTAGCGTTAACGGAGTGGTTTTGATGCTGATTTTAGATTGAATAATTCATTTATGCATGTATGGGTTGTTAGTTTTTGGTTTGTGAACTTTTAGTGATTTTGTTGAGTTACATGTTATTGTTTTCATTGTTGGACATTATGAGAATACATGTTTTCTTATCGTTGTATGTGAYTGGACAATTTTGATTGTTGTGTTGGGAGTAATCGACTTGTGGCGTTATGTGAACATATTGGAAATGAGATGCTCGCGTTGATAGTTTGATAAATTGTTTATACTGTTCGGTTGGGAACTGTTGGTCTAGTGCTTTGTTGGTTATAATGAAAAGCATGCTGGTGAGTTGTGCTGTGAATTGAAATGTGGGTTGCTTAGATTGAAAATGCTTACTAACGGCTTGGTTATTCAAGCCTTGAGTGGAATTGATATGAACCAAGAAGCTACCTTTGTTATGCCTCATGGACCGATTACAAGATCGAGAGCTAGGAAACTTCAACAAGCTTTGCTACTTCGTGTCCAAGCGTTCTTGAACTCGACAAGAGAAAAAAAGGAAGATGTGCAAGAAGTTGGAACTATGCACTTCAATTTGGTGCAAGTTATGCATTTTTAAGTGTTCTTAAGGCAAGTCAAAGTCCACTTGGTCAAGGTCAAAGTCAACTCCATCAAGACAAGTCAAAGTCAACTCATTCAATTCAAAAACCAAGTCAAACACTCACATCCATCATTATGGACGAGATTGCACTTATTTTGGTTGGCTTTCCATGTTCTTGACCTTTTCATTTCTTGTAAGTTATGTCTTTTCATTTACAAGTATTTTCATTTCTTGTAAGTTACAAGTCTTTTCATTTGCTTAAGACTTTTCATATGGCCTGCTAGGATGGCTATATATAGCCTTGAGATGTCTTGTTGTAAACACAATTTGAAGTTGAATGAAAAGTGAGTTTTCTCATTAGCTTGGTTGAGAGCTTTATCTCCCATTTCTTGTGCAATTTCTTGTGTCTTTAGAATTTGCATGTTAGGATCATTCAAGCGGTGTTGATCTTGTGGAGTGATTCGAATCACGAGTTTAGAAACAAGTTTTCTCTACTCTTGATATTGATCATCAAGGTAATCCGTTCTAAAACTTTTCCTTGGGTTGATTCCATACTTGTTTTCGGGGTTTTTGGGATTGAGTTCTATGGGTCTTGTTCGTTAGCAAGGTTCTTAGATCCAACTCTCAAGGGTTTCTTAACAGGAATGCCTTGGGAATAAATGGCAAGGCCGAACTGTCAAGTTTCTGTAGAGGAGTATTGGGGTCTTCGGGATAAATGTCAATGACCAATACGCGGGATAGCCATCGGTACCTTGGGGATAAATGTCAAGGACTGGTGCATAGTTCAAGGCCTTGGGAATAAATGGCAAGGTCAAACGTCAAGTTTATGTAGAGGAGTATTGGGGCCTTAGGGATAAATGTCAAGGGCCAATGCGACTCGAAGAGTTAGGCTTGAAGGACTAACGTAGGGTGGTGCTTGTGAGTAGTAGTTCAGGGCCTTGGGGATAAATGGCAAGGTCGAACATCAAGCATTGTAAAGGAAGGTCAGTATCTTGGGGATAAATGTCAAGAGTCGTTATGCCTCGAAGAGTTAGACTTGGAGTCCCAACATGGGATGTAGAGCGGGGGTTAGCTCAAGTGGGTAAAGGTTGGTGAATCGTGTGGTTGAGGTCCCGGAAGTCCCGGCAATTGGTTGTTTGCATGGAGATGTTAATCTATGGTTATTATTCTTCGTTGCCTATTTATTGTCTTGCTGTTGTTTTTATTTTTGTCTGGTTGAGATTGCGAGCATGTTGTTGTGTGTAGTTAGGAAGGGCTACTTACGGAGACTCAAAACCAAGCTCAGGAGAGAGTTCCACCACCTCCACCACCACGTGTTATGGATGAGGATGAGTATGAAGGTGATGGATCCGATCATTGGGAGGACGATCAGGCTACAGTTTTAGCGGCTCCAAGAGGGGGTGATAGACACGTTGGTCGTGGCTTAGATCGAGGGAGAGGCCGGGGAAGAGGCTATCATAATTTCCAAAGAGCCCCACGAGCGAATGCTCAAGTTGATCGAAANAACGTCACGTTTCTGTAGAGGAGTATTGGGGCCTTAGGGATAAATAAATGTCAAGGGCCAATGCGACTCGAAGAGTTAGGCTTGAAGGACTAACGTAGGGTGGTGCTTGTGAGTAGTAGTTCAGGGCCTTGGGGATAAATGACAAGGTCGAACATCAAGCATTGTAAAGGAAGGTCGGTATCTTGGGGATAAATGTCAAGAGTCGTTATGCCTCGAAGAGTTAGACTTGGAGTCCCAACATGGGATGTAGAGCGGGGGTTAGCTCAAGTGGGTAAAGGTTGGTGAATCGTGTGGTTGAGGTCCCGGAAGTCCCGGCAATTGGTTGTTTGCATGGAGATGTTAATCTATGGTTATTATCCTTCGTTGCCTATTTATTGTCTTGCTGTTGTTTTTATTTTTGTCTGGTTGACATTGCGAGCATGTTGTTGTGTGTAGTTAGGAAGGGCTACTTACGGAGTATTTTATGTACTCACCCCCTCTTCCTTAATTATTTCAGGTGTGAACAGGGCCGACCGTGGTGATGACGCGGAGGGGGTTTGACCGAGGAGGGATCACTAGATGAGTCGGTTAGGATTATGGGAAATGTCGTCCATCACGAGTAGAGTTAGAATTTGTTGCTATGGAGATACTAGGCGTTGTGTCGACCCAAGGGACGTTTTTATTTTATTTTATTATTTTAYGGATATTATTGCATCACTGTTGTTCGTTGAAGTTTTAGTTAAACGATTGTTTCTTTTTAATTAAGATTCCTAGCCACTGAGGGCGACATGAGATGTATCTTTTGGAATTGTCCACGGAGGATGATTATTTGATGATCTATAGGTTTGATATCGTTGGTAAAATGATGGTAGTTGAAGCTTTATTTTATTTAAATGTTTCACAGAGAGCTAGTCATCTCGTGTTTAGAAGTAAGATTAGACAGGTGGTTTAGTTAATGTTACCTATAAAAGTGTAAAACGTTATGGACCGTTACATGAAGGCATTTCACGACAGCGCAAAACCATGAGTGGAGGCGGCAGCAGACCCACATTTTGTTTTCTTACGCCCATTTTGCGGTGATATCTCACAATTCGTTCCGGTTTCTCGTCAACTCATAGCGTGGCACATTCCTTCGATGAGCTTCCATGGTGTTCTGTCAAATCCCAGTGGTCGATGACTCCTCAGTAGTAAAGACGGCAGGGTAGCTGGAACCTTCATTCGACGATGATTTGCGATGGTGACTCGCGACCAACGATGTTACTCGACGAACTGAAGCTACCCAAGGCAAACACAACATATTCGAACTCCTCTTGTAGCGTTCTGCAACATTTCAGTGGCCCTTCACAGTAGGGCACGAAGAACAGCCCAAATCTTCGACGTATTATTCATTCCAACAACTTTCAACATTAACTCATACATGTTTGAAGCTACACTTGTGATACCCACCCCTTTCCGAATTGATCTAGCACTGACCCACCCCAAGTTGAACCTACATCAGTGTTACCCATCGCTTTTCAACGTAGGTCCAGCAAGCCCGAACCTCTTCAAGCTCAATTATGCACTGTCATACGCCTTCGACACTGACCGAATCGTACTCAAGTGGTATCAGTAAGGTACTGTAGGTAATAGAGTGTTCGATCCCCATTTTCGTTTCCATTAAAGTTTTTCGAATTGGATTCTAACTTGAGCGTTTATTTTTCTGAGTTAGGTATAGGGTTTTCGTAGTTTAGACACGCGTCAGGACTTTGTTTGTAAGTAATGCTTACTTGTGTGGATGCTTGTTGTTTGAAGTATGAATTGCTTGTTGTTTATGTGCCTGATGATTTGATACTTTATAACAGGTACTATTGAAATATTAACGACGAACTATTGAAAATATATCGTTGATATTGTTTCAGTATGTGAACATTAGATATAGTATTCCTTTTCTAAAATTGTTGCATGTGTTTCTTAATAGAGATGACTATTTTGCAGTTTGATTGTGTTCTTAAAAGTAGATTGAATTGTTATTTGAGAGGTCTGTTATGTTGAAACATGCTGGATAAATGTTTGATATATCGTTGACTTCATTTCCTTTTGTGGTATATACAATGTTGTATAGTGGAATCATGCTAGACCGTCTCAAGTTGAATGATACTTGCATATGTTTCATGCATAACGCATGTTCGATTATTGTGAGTTGAATGCTGAAAGTTGGTATTAACATGCTGCTTTCTTTATTTTATCGTATAGGTGTTGAACCAACGCAAAGACTAGGAGCGTAAGAGGGTGTAAGTAAAGCTAGAGGAGGGTGTGTGCGTTTCGTGGGCTGTTGGAAATATCATTTGCTATTTAGTTTATTTAACATGTATTTCTCATGTAATTGTGATTGTTGGATGTGATTAGTTATGGGTGATTGAATGCACGTTTCAATGTTGTTAGTTGTGATGGTGTGTTGCTGCTGAAACATGTTGGAGAAATTTCTTTAGTATTTGTTTTAACAATAAATGCATGTTCTAGTTACTTCATTTTTTGTGTCTTGACATAAAGCATGCTGGAATTATTGTTGAAGTTTGATTGGGCAAAGTGTGCTGTTTGTTTTCTATTTTTTATCTTGCAAGAATCATTATGCGTGTGTACTTTGTGTTGTGAACATGCCAGTGGCCATCAAATTACGTGGTTATCTGATATGTGTGCATTAAAATCATGTTGGATATTTGGTTGTGCTAATACGTTGTGACTAGAGTGGTTAGGGGGCTTGTATTACAATCCTATTTGGATGCTGAAAAAATGAAATGTGGGGTCGGATGTTATGAAAGGAGATTGAGTGACTGTCAGGGCCCCGAGTACAATGGTCGGAGGTTGATACGGTACTACTGGGTGTCGAGGCTCAGGGTACAACGTCGGGGGTCGATACATGTTAGGGTTGACTTTTTACTGTAGAAATATGTGTCAGTAGGCATGTTTCACCACGATTTTGACCCCTTTCCCATCATTATTTGCCAAAAAATATTACATATTCTAAAAATAGAACATGCATAGAACATTTATGCATAAAAATTTAAACTATGGTACTTTAGGACAAATCTGAGAAAAATGCGGTGAAAGTTGGAAGAAAATAACAGTTCTCTATTTTTACAGAATTGCGTTTGGCGCAATTTTGAAGAGCAATTTTACAAAACGCATGTTTTGATTAATGAAGGGCAAGGATGACATTTCCCACATGGTCAAACCAATTAAAAATTGTGAGTCCAACTCCAAGAGGGTTTGTTAGGTGAATTTCAACCAATTTCCATGTAAAATGGGTGAAGTTCCTAATCCGATCCTTTTAGTAGATAAGCGAGATGTAGTCATGCGGAAT